AAATTTCAAAATTCTACTTCTGGGCTATGATCTTGAGTACCTACAGTAAATTGTTTAACCCGTTCGGATAAAATTTAAGGGATTCGTAATGTGCTATAGCGAAAAACCGAGTTTTTCGGAAAACTGGTAACCAACAATACTTAAAAACTAAAAACAAAAAAGTGCTCCACTGAGTTTCCGATCATTTCTGAGAAATACAAGTTATGCTTTACAGAATTTTCGACCCATAGCCAGATATTTTCGATTAAAGAAATTCGGTCTAAAATCGTGCCTGTAGATAGACATAATTAATTGTCGCGTATTCCCCTGTATTATCAGTGAGCACAAAAAACACCGCAAAAAATTATATAAGTACAACTGAGTGACAAAAAAATGAGAGTATAGTCGAATGTGAAAAAAAAGACGAGAAAAAGAAAACTTAACAAACATACAAACCTTCTACATGTTTGTTTCCCTTTCTTTCTTATTCTGTCAAGAATTTTCTAGATTATGAAAGAAAAGAAGAAAAAGATAGTAAAAAAAGAAAAAGTTAAAGATGCTCTGTCATGATATAGTTTTTGCCATCAAATGTATGTATGTTAGGAGCTCCAATTTATTATTAAAAAATAGGAAGTTTTGTTCAATTTGTGCATTTTAATTTAATTTAATTAATTATTTATATCCTCTGATGAGGATTGAGTTAGTCAATCGAACCATTTGGAAATAAATAAATATAAAGTTTATTACGAAGGAAATACAGTTATCTGTAATTATAAAAAGAGTTGATAAAATCGTTATGATCGACTGAGATTAAAAGAAACTAAAATAAATTAAATTAAACTTCTGTTCGCTTCATATTTCTTCTTGTACACTAGAATCAACATCCACCACCAGTAGTAGAACTGCTCGTGTTACAGGCCGTATGTGACTTGATCGCTCTTATGGTTAAAGCTGCCGCTGGATTGGTTGCCATGAGCGCTCCTCGTGCCATTCGTTTCGCTATAGAATCCGAACAGGTCTTGTGCTCGTTTGCTTCGACCGTTTCTGATTGAATATAAACAAAATTATTCATTTGATATGCTTAAAAAGATTTGCCACTCACCAGATGACTCGTGCTTCTTGCTACTGCCGTTGCCCATTTGGTATGGATGGTAGGCCTCCGAAATTTACAAGTGCTGACGTTAAAAAAGTTGTTTGTAGTTTACTGAATTGTGAGTTGTATTTAAAAGAATCATACGCATTAGTGGTGGAAAGAACGAGCACCATGTTGAAAAGAAAAATCAACTACGGAGAAAGAGAAAGGAAAAATGATTCAAGAATGTCACCTTTCACGCGAAAGAAAATAACGCAAAGAGACAATGACGTCTATCAATGGAATGACGTCAAAAAGAAAGAAGCAAGAATACAAAACTCACGTAAAAAAGGCGAGTGGGCATAATAGGGGCGTGGTGTTCATCTGTGACCGAGAACGATATGCGGATGTGGAGTGACAATAGGGTTCGTAATCAAGCGTCTCATTGCTTATTCATTCGGTAAGCAACCTCTCACTATCACCCCGCAAGAAGCTGATCTGGAATGATCAAATTTTCCCCAGTCTAAAAGCATTATAAGATGAAAGTGCATTAGTAGTGTATAAGTAACTTGATGTTGGCAGACTGAGATAGTTTCCCTTTTGGTGACAAAAATATATAAAATGTTAGATCTTACCTTGCTCTCGTGCACAAAGGGGTAATAAAATTTGTCGGTGCACAATGTTCAAACCAATATATTTCAACAAGATTAAATTTAATTTAGCTAGAAAATGTGTTTTTTTTATGTTATAAAAAGAAGCCAAAACTTCTTTTTGAGTCAGAATGGTGTCAGAAGATACTTACACCAAACGTGCTTAAAAAATAATTTCTCATCCATTATGGCTATGGTTTTCTTATTTTCGTGTTTACAACACATTGAGACACATCAACGTCTTATAGAAAAGCTCTCAAGCTGATTCTGTTTTTAAACACCATGCGGATTTTTCTTTCTTATTACAATTTGACCGAACAGTTACTAACCTAAGCTAAGCATTCGGTTCGTGTAAGAGTTTTTGAATATGTGTGATATCTTCGGTAGATGTCGGGTCATTCATGTTAAAATATTCGAGAGATTTTTTATAGTGAGCGTCAGCTAATATATCGAGGTTTTGATGGTAGAGAAGGTTTTGGCTTATTGTCCACTGGCGTCATGTAGAATCTATGAAAATACAAACAAATTAAAAGTAATACACAATTCTATTTTCTCTTAATACCTGGTGTCATATTTAAGAGAACAAGTCAATTTAAAATAACAAGATATTTCGACATATGACAGCTCACTTTAATGATCTCCAATTGTCAAACACAAATAATCATTAATCGCTATCTGTTTATGTTTTTCACTAAATATGATTGTGATATAAAAACTGGATTATTCCAATATCTAGCAGATGCTTTTGTTTATACATCGATGGTCTGATCGGTACATGATATATCCCTGTTCTGCTCTAATTTCTACATTAAATTTGATGTAAATGTACAAATTCATACCTTCTAGGCTGTTCAGATCAACTCCGATACCTGATAACACCGAGATCCTGATAACATATAACCTTATTACACGACACAAGTTGAAAATATGAAGGGATTGTGGAGAATAGGCATACACCAGTTACAAATGGTATGTTTTTCGTGAAAAACATGCTGTTTCTAAAATTCTAGATTACAAAATTGTTTTGATCATATGGGTTTCTTGGGTAGACTTGCCTCTACAAAATGAGACATTTGGCAACTATGCATCATTTTTTGGTCAAAAGTTATAATCAAGTTGTATGGTAAAAATGAGAAATCATGCAACTGTTAGTGGACGAACGATTTTTACGAAAAATATGATATTTCTAGAAGTCTAAGTTATAAAATCTTTTTGATCAGGTGGGATTGTAGAGCAGACTTTTCTCTATGAACTAAGACTAAGATGCATGGAAGCTCTGGGTTCCTTGTCGGCCAAAAGCTATAATCATTTTATATTAAAGAAAGTTCTAATTCATGTTCAATGTTCATTTTCTTCAATGTAAAATGATTATAGCTTTTGACCGACAAGGAACCCAGAGCTTCCAAGCATCTTAGTCTTAGTTCATAGAGAAAAGTCTGCTCTACAATCCCACCTGATCAAAACAATTCTATAACCTAAATTTTAGGACTTGAATGTTTTTCGCGAAAAACATAATATTTATAACTCGCGCATGCCTAGTGGAGAATGCATGTTTTGAACTAGCCGTTTGGAAACAATTTATTTTCGATACTACTGTTGATCCGCCATTAAGCTTTAAAAGAGCGAAGGTGATGATATGCTTTCATCTTTAGTTTTCTGAAATTTTTAATAACTTCGTAATAAGGTAAACGAACTATTCGTATATGTTTTTCTATATTCAAGTCACACCTAAGCAAAAGACGGAGAACGTTATGATGAAAAATCGACTCCTTCTTGTATTTTATAATCTGTTATTTCAAATATAGCACAACGATGCAAGAAAACGTATCCAAGCATAATCAGGCTTGAAAATTACTTATGGGCTGAAAAAATCAAAATTCATCTATTACTGTCTTAACAACAGATCAGCAAGATGGTAGGATCGTGTATATATTTCTTATTTTGGTGATTTTGTCCTTGTAATGCAATCGCAATATATCATCTACTGATAGATAGAAGTTTTCAAGCGCTACATACCAAAAGAGTGTAAGAAACATTGAAAATAAAAAGTTGAAATTGAAGTACATATTTTAATCAATAAATAGTGTAACAGATCTAAAAATTCCAATATACATCAGATTTTTATTCAACTATCAAGCTTAAACCACAACCATTTTTATATTAACCGATAGAGCTTATCATAAACCATAAATATATATATAAAACATTAAATAAAACTTGCTCTAACATATATATATCAGGTAACTGTTTTGAAAAGCATAAAATGCCACTAAAAACGATATTTTTTCACTCTGGAATTTTGGGCAAATTACTTGGATTAGAGTCAAAAGTTTTGACTCACCATTTTTTTCCTTTGTGATATTAATCAATTCTGAGACTATATTCTTAGAGAGGGGATAAGAATATCAGATAGGCTTGAAATTTATATCATTTGTAGAGAAACACTTAGGCTACACGTTGGGTCATCTCTGAACTCTAGATAACGTTTCGTTCAAAAGTTATAACGTTTTGGAAGATCAGTAAAAAGAGCTGGGAAATAGTACGAGTTTTTGGAAAAGTTTGTACTTAGAGAGCATTTCAAAATTCTTGCCGTTCTCTCTGCCGCTCTGCCACGGCATAAAGGATTGTTTTTAATGACATTTCGATATGTTATCAGATTCTTTTGATATATATGATGATGATTTATTGCGTGAGAAATGCCCGGGTCTGTTACCCGCTTGCACTACAGTGTAGATAAAATGAAAATTCTATACAAAAGTATTAAGGATGTGAAAAGAAAAAGTTTTCGTATATCGGTTACAATAAAGAAAAATATAAATAAAATGGTAAGCTGCACTCGCTCGTTAGACACAAATGATGATGACACAAATAAAATTTTATAATTTTAGACTATAACTCTAATAGCCTGCACACATTGGTTTTTATAGGATTCAACCGCACGCGAAAAGAATTTGTTTCAAATTTACGGTCATGCATCAGACATAAGTTGACAATAAAAGTAACAAACTTTTGATATATATATACGTATACATGCAATTTATTTTGGTAGATAAATTTATTGAAATTGTCTTTACGATTCACGATTAAATGCAGAAATAGGAAAAAGTATAATAATGTTCTTCTTACTTGTATATATAGAGTAGTGTACTATAGGTGTATTCTCGTTTTGCCGACTTTTCTAACAATGTAGAAATCTATGGCTCTCGTTTTGCCGACTATTTTCTTAATTGATATATATACTAATTAAGTGATATGTATGAAAAATTTATATTTTGTAATACAGAAAAAGAAAAGAAAGCTTAGAATTTTTTAATACCAATCAGTTTCATACTTCGGCCGTGAAATTCATTTAATGTTAATTTGTGTTCTTCATATCTTTTTTCCAAATCAAGAATGCGCGTATTTCGTTGAACATATAATTTTTTACGTGATGGTGTTGCACCAGTGGCAGAAGTTTGTGTTATAATAGCCGTATTGAACGCAAAATCTTCTTTTAAATTATTAAGAAATACGTAAAAATTTGGATGATGAACATGATAAAGCGAAGAATTTAGTCTGCAATGCCATCCCTCGACGTTGTTGTTAGTACGATGACTTAAGAAATCAAAATAATTCCACAATGAATAATCAAACATTGCATTATCATCTACCCATGTTGTTATAAAATAATCAAAAAATGGTTCAATATTTTGAATATATTGAAACTCACCCATAATTTGCACTCATAAATTTGGAATCTGATTTAGTAGCACAAAAGCAAGTACAGCTGTTTTCTTATATAAATTTCCAACATTTATATCATTAATATCTGTAGATTCAGCATTAATAAAAGTAGACTGGAATCCTAATGCTTGTAAACGTTTATATAAACATTTATTAAAGTGAAAGTTGCAGCCTTTTATTGCTGCATTTGGAAATATTATACTTAGAGAATTTCTCATGGCAGTTTCAAAATCTATGGTCATATATTTTGGATTAATAATTAAATGATTTTCATAACAAATTCGTTGAATTGCAGCTAATAAGTTTGTATATGTACCTTGACTTTTATCCGCTAATTAGTGCCGATTTGAGAAATACACCATATGCCATTTTTGGGAATGGGCGTATTCTCCTTCGGATGATTATATTCGTTCTTAGATCTGATATTAAAATTTGGGTCTGTTGGATATCTAGTTAATTAATAGATGCCATTTTCGACTTTTATTTTTAAAATTTATTTTATACTTATTATTAACGAGAATATCTGTTAATGAGTAGGCGAAACGAGAACAATCTTTCGTACATATCACTTAATTAGTATGAATAAATCAAGAATTTGAATAAATCAATTAAGAAAAAAGTCGGCGAAACGAGAATCATAGATTCCTATATTTTTAGAAAAGTCGGCAAAACGAGAATATTTTTAATGAGTCGGCGAAACGAGAACTAATCGTACTATATAAGCATTTCTCAACTATTCCGAAATATTAAAAAAGACAATATCATGATAGGTCAGTACTATGTTTTAGTGTTAGTATTGAGTATATGTCTTTTGATCAATACTATCCAGTTAAGCAACAAATATCTGTAATTGTTTTGGGAGAACATAATCTAATATTTCTTTTATAAGTGCAAGAGAGCTATGCTTCGGGAGCTTTGCCTCTATTCTGAGATTATTCGTGTATTCCACCGTTACACAACATTTCATTTTAGAATAACTTTTATATAGATGTATACAGAAACTTTCTTTTCTTTTGTAACTGATTTGATTACTTCTTCAAAGACAATTAACCGCTATGTGTCAAAAGATTATTCTTTTATCAACCTATACATATACTTCTCTTTTACTGTTTATTGTACTCTAACACTATTTAGACTTTCCTATATTATAGGAAAGTTATAGGAAAGAGAAATTATTCTGTTTTTCTGTTTAGAGAATAAAATAAGAAAAGAACAAATTTTATATTTTCATGTCTTGCATATTCAATGAGGAAAGTGCTCACTGTAAACTTATTTCGTTTTCGGCGTAGACAACTTCGCAAACTAAACAAAACAAATAAAATCTTTTTCACAAACTAAACAAAAGATAGCTAACAAATACTTCTATACTTGCACTTTCCGTGCAGGGGAGAATATTCACAAGTCCAGAAGAGACTTTCCAGCAATACAATAACTTTTCGGACACAACAAGTAACTTAAAAAATATCGACTTGAAAATCTTGAGCCTACAAACTGTAGGAAAAAAAGCCTGGTAAATT